GCATGGCTGCCCCCATGCTCCCCACACTCCCCTCCCAGATCGGGGTCGGCAGCGTGCCTGGTCCCAGACCCAAGTGTCCTGGCAGAAATGTTGAGGTTCGTGGGATAATTTTTCAGGAAATGGAATGACGGCGACATCCCTCCCCTCCCCCTCTACCCAATGTCCCTCACGCAGCACGTGCCCGTCGGGCAGCCTGGTGGTGCCGACCCTGGGTCCAGATCCTCCTGCTTCAAAAGCCCAGCCCCAGCCCCTTAGAAGGGATGTTATTTCTGCGGGCTCTAGCACCCAGCAGGCCCCATCCCACCGGGGGCAGAGGGCTCTGACACTTGCCCCCAGTTCACTGCAACCTTCTCCCACTTCGAACTCTGGTTGGTCTAGTTTTTCTAGGCCCTCGCTCCTCCGGCTGCAAGATGGACCCCGGGTGCCCCTCCAGAGCGGGCTCTCCACACCCAGAGCAGCATCTGCGGACGTGTGTGGCCTCTTGAAGTCAGTCACAGCAGGATGGCTTTCAAGGATACGGGATAAAGCACTTGGAGGACATCACAGATGCATTCTCTGGCAGCAGCTCTTCCGGTAACCAGCTGTTCTCAGAGGAGCGGGAGGCCCTGCCGTGGTGGGGCTCACCACGGATTTATTTCTTTAGGAAGTTCCTGGGGCGGGGGGCGGGAAGTGAGCCGCTCAGCCCAGTGATAACCAGAGTCCTGGCAAAACGCACATCCTGGATTAGAAGCTACCACCTGTTCAGAGGCCGGGAGCAGGAGGGAGGCCCGCCATGCCGGGTCAGACCAGACATCTGTCGAGCCAGGGCACTTTGCCAAAGGCTTTCTCCTTTCACCCAGCCCCTGTTTCTAGCAGGCCCACCAACTCCATGAGCTGGTGTCTGGCAGGGCAGGCTCCCACTGGCCAGGGATGAGTCGCTGTCACATTACTGGATTTTGAGGGGAGTAGCCAGATCACTGCTGCACCCATGGGGGGGTGTTGGCCCCAGAAGTGGCACAAAGGGGGGCCATGTGAGGTGTCAAATAGAAGCCTTTCTTCTGATTCCATATGCGCTATTCATGTGATTGGATAATCTCGGTACGTGAAGTTAGAAACATGGACTTTGTGTGGATACCAAATGTTTCTCTATGTGGTTGAACTATGGGCAAAGCAGCTCAGCCTATGGACATGCTAACGAGCAAAGCTCTGGAACAATAGCCCTCTATAGGCCAAGGACACACCTAGGGGCTACCAGCAGGGAACACAGGGATAGGCCATGGGCCAGGTGACCTGCTGTAGCCCAGAAGAGACCAGGAAGGAGGGATAAATAGGCCATGTGGCTGACTCCATCTTGGTACTCAGCTCAGCACTTCATCCCAGAGGCAGCAGTGCAGGGATCGAAGAGCCGGAAAGAACTGTGGACCCATCCTGATCCTAGGATGCGCAACAAGGTCTTTTACGTCAGCAGCTGTAACATCTCTGCTAGAGCCTGCGGCGATAACTGGGAGATTCGGTGCATGTAACGTACTATACTTTAACAACCTTACTCTCATGCTTTTCTTTATTGTAGTAATAAACCTTTAGATGTTAGATGCTAAAGGACTGGCTCAGCGTGATTTGTGGGTAAGATCCAGAGAGTAAATTGACCAGGGACCTGTGGCTGGGTTCTTGGAACCGGACAGAACTTGTTCGGGGTAGGTGGGATTGGGTGCTAAGACCCCCCACCCGTGTATGAGGCCCGGGTCCATCTGGGGCACGGATATTGCTGGGGTGGTGGAGGGGTTTTGCTCGTGAGGCTTCAGGCAGGCTGCTGAAGCGCTCTGTGGGACTGGTGTGTGGCCTGTTTGGGGAGGTCTCCAGTCTGGGGGCTGTAAGGAGCCCCGGATTTGAGCAATTTGCCTTGAGCGGACGCCCTCAGCTGTGCCCAGACTCGGCCCAGTCCGTCACAGTCACGACCACCCGGAGCTGCACACGTGGGCACTGACTGAGGACACGCAACGAGGCCCTGGGCAGATGTGGGGCCCGCCTGGTGGGGCAGCAATGGGGCAGGGATCCAGGGCGCCTGCGTCCCAGCCTCACCCCCACCACCGACCAGTGACCCCTCCGAGGGGAGGGGGAAACAGCACTGATCCACCTTGCCCAACTCTCAGGCCCAGGGCTGTGGATGAGGGGCAGGCTGGGTGCGCTCAAACAACAGATGCTGGGAAGGCAAAACCTGAGCTGCTCTGATTAGAAAACATGCAGATCCTGGGTGGCCTGACAGCCCCATTGGCCACTAGCACCAATTCACTGATTCAGAGGCACTACCGGAATGCCTGGGTGTTGGCGTGTAAATTAGTCTCCACTGATTGCTTGTGCTATTTGATGGCCCCAGTGCCACCATGGGCAAGCTAGGCTAGCGAATGGGCTACGTGCGCAGCCCGCCATCTCAACGGGCCCAAGAGTCCCAACGCAGTCCCTTGGGACTGGGTGGGAAGGGCTAGTCGACTAGCCCACTAGCAAATGCTTATCAGACAGTCCACAGGCTAGGCGACTAGTCGCTTCCCCCTCCCTTGCTGCCTGCCAGAAAGAGGCAGCAAGGCAGGGGGGAGAGAGGAGGGGATGCTTCAAACCAGCAGACTCTGGGCTCCATGAGGCGCTGCCACTTTGAAACACACGTGCAGGCCGGGGACTCCCCCGCTGATCCCCGGCTCCCAGCGCTTTCGCCTTTGAAGTGTAGCAACAGCCCTGGGGAGGTGGAGATGCCCTTATCAACTAATCAAATAGTAGGATTAGCCCGTTAATCTCAATTTACCATCCCTACTTGGGACAGGGCACCTTTGCCAACCGCGCTTGCGTCCCTAGACTAGGGGAGCCGTGTGCTCCCTCTGCATCCAGTCAAAGCTCTGCTGCAGCACAGGCCGGGGTGCCAACTGACCTGCCACCGCTCTGGGATGGGCTGCTGAGGGAGCGACCGGCTGTCACAGCCAACGTGGTGTGCGATCAGCACATGCCCTGGCTGGACGTGTGTGTCACTAGTAATACCTGTAGGACAAAAACCTACGCGGACAGAAACCGGCCGACTCTGGCAACCCTAAGCGTGGGCAGCAGTGAACAAAACGTCTCAGGCCACACCCAGAACCCTGATGAGCTGCATGGGGCCCGCCAGCCACGGATTACCCACCACTGGTCTATGGCACAGGTGGCCACCCAGTGAGATCTATCAACATCTGTTTTGCCAGCCATCTTAGGGGAGAGGAGGAGGGCTGGGCCGGAGAGATAGCTGCAGCCCATAGGCCCTGCTGAGGTGGTTTGGCGGGGAGGTGGGTACTTAGGGGGCAGCACGAGACCGCTGCTTACTCTGGGAACGCGCTGGGCTGTCTATCTGCACAGAACAGAGTGAAATGATGCTCCCAAGAGCCTGAAGGCGAAGTACAAGGAGAGAAAGACATGCCTCAGCATGGAGCCAGTCAGACTAATGGGCAGGAGTTGACAGCTGATTAAGCAGGAGATCTTAGACGTCCCTTCCCAGTCTCTACCCGAGCAGAACCTGGCGGATGTCCAAGCCAGGCACAGGCCCAGAGACGGCTGTCAACTTGAACAAGCAGAGCACCCTCCTCCACTGCGATGGAAGCAGAATCATCCTCATTTCACAAATGGGGAAACTGAGGCACAGAGAGAGGGCTTCGACTCGCCCCAGTTCACAAAGCGCTGTAGGACACAGACCACCTGTTTCAACAGCACCTAGCTTAAGGGGGGCCCCACGTCCATAACGGTCGCTCTCAGGGGTTACTATAAAACAAACAAAATAGCGAGGGAATGACAAAATCAGGAACAGAATCCAGGACTACGGACATCTAGGTATCTGCAGTAGCAGCTAGGCAGTGCTCCCTTACAAGATACTGCTCAGCAGCCTTACTCCTTCAAAACCCAGGGAGGAATTCATGCTCAGAGACTGCTCTGTGGTTTGCTCCCTTTTAGAGATATGAAAAATGAGTCTCAAAGAGCTCGAGACCAAAGACATTCAGAAACAGTCACCGGTTTGGGACACCTCCCTTTCCGGGTACCAGCTTGGGCTCAGTGATTTGCACCATCGAATCTGGCCAGGACCTCAGTGGTGGGGGTGGTGACTGATCCGGGAGAGATCAGTGCTTCAGGAGAGGCATCTGAGTCAAGATTAAATTGAACTGGTCCTGACCCCCAGGCCTCTGCTCAACCCAGCAAACCACAGCCTCTTAGAATAGGGCACTTTTTCCAACCACGCTTTCAACCAGCCTCCGTAAGTAAGCCTGGTTCGGCAAAAACGCCCTTGCCCACTTCGCATTACTCCAGTACAGTGACAGTCGGAACTAGCAAATTCCCGCGCAGTGCCGCACATGTGGCTGAATTCTTAGGAGACATAATACTGCTAATTTGAGGGGCACAGTTGATTTCCTTACAAAAATACACAAATGGTGAACAACTCAAGTTGTCTGCCACTTCACAGGCTCCGGGAAGCTTCCTTGGACCTGAACTAGAGGCTCACCCAGAGCCACGCACATTCAATAAAACCGTCCTAGGAGCAGGGTTATAGTGCGGTGTCTCACGCCAAGGGTCTGAGAACAGCAGCACACAAAGCCCTGCCTAGGAGCACCAGGAGAGTGCCGGGCCCTGCCGCACAAGCACAGCACTACGCGGCTCTGTGTTGCTGGTTCAAATCCAGCCCCGGTCACAGAGATTTCAACAGCTGCTGTCTGCTCCAAGGCAGGTATCCAAGGAACGCAACCCAGCTCTCAGCCGGCCACCCTGGTACGGAGGGGCCAAAAACTTGGAGACTGAATTCCCTTTTCAGACTTGGACTCGACTCCACCCCAGACCCGGGGTAGGGATGTTAGTGAGGAGTCGACTGGAGTATTGACTACATGCTTCCCCTCCCCGCCAGGCTGCTGCCTCTGACAGGCAGCGGGGGGGCAGAAGCCAGTGCTAGGAGAAGCTGGTTTAAAAGCTGGTTCCCTCAGCATGTCTCCACGGTGCCACCTCCTCCCACCCGCTGCTCCCATCAGAGGCAGTGGGGAAGAGGAGAAGGGGAGCAGCCCCTGTCCGCAGGAGCCCCAGCAGGGAGCTGGGCCCCCGCCCTGGTGGACAGGGGCTGCTGCCACCAAGCAGCCCCCTGTTCACAGCAGCCTGAGCTGGACACTGCGAACAAGCGCTGCTGGACTCCGTGCAAGCCGGGAATGAGCAGTCCTGGCTCGTGCGGGTCTGGGAGGCTGCGCCTCCGCATTTTAAAGGCAGCTCTCACTACATTTCAAATGCAGAGCTGCAGCGTGGGCATCTCCCAGAGCCAGCATGAGCCAGGACTGCTGAGTCCCAATTTGAGCCAGCTCCTGGAGCTCCCCTTGCCGTGGCTCTGCAGAGCAGCCCGTCGACTAGTCGTGTCATTATCGACCACACGAGGAGCCAGATCACCACAATTTAACATCCCTAACCTGGTGAAGCAAAGCGGGGGGACCCTGATGGGACGGCTGTGTGTGACTCAACCGATTTCAAAACCAGACTGACATCCTCTCACTGGACCCCTGTGTAACGAAGACCAAGGAATTCCACCGACCCCCGCCACAAGCACACCGCTGCTCGAAGGGACGCGGCGCCGCTAAAGGACTGTGCTCGCACACGCACAGACTCCGGGGCTCTCAAGCCAGCACTAAGTGTTATATATTTAAATACGCTGGTGGAGGGGGCTGAGGAGAAGGTTCACCCAGTGTAACTGACCTAGTTCTCTGCCGGGTCAAACCCTGCCCGTGCTAGAACGCTGCTGGAATGAGATCCCGCAGACACCGACGTGGCTCCCTGGGGGACCATGGTCCCAGGCCACCCCCCTGCAGCTTAACATTGCCCTTTCCCCATTCCCACCCAAGGGTAAGCATGAAGCTATCTACTTCTGCACAGACCCATTCACATGAGCCTGCACGAGTCCTCATGCAGTCTATTGCAAGGGAGATGCGGCAGGGTTTCTACACAGGCAAGCTCCCCATGGCAGCAAGGGCTCCGATGTGCTTCATGAACAGGGCTGGAGACATTACGCAAGAGACCAATACCAGCGGGGAAAGAACAAGAGGGAATTGTTCTCAGCAATCAGCTTTCTCAAGGGTTTTATGCCACCCTATGAACCAGGGCACTGCTAAGAACGGGGACGAACGCGGTTACCCACATATACCCTTTCTCTTCCACAGAGAGAACAGGGTCTCACCTTAGCCTTTGGATTTTACTGTAAGCATTGAAGAACTGAGTGAGCCAGGAGTGCAGCAAGGGCCGAGGGGGAGAGCATTAACCCAGCTATGCTGGGAGCCCCAGCGGCCAACAGGATGTTGCCAGGGACGGATGGGGACAGGGACACGCACAAGGTGATCTCTACCGGAATGGGAAGCTTATGATGCTGAGTGGGTTATTTCTACTCTCCGGGGGAGTTGGTCCCTCTCCCCCGTTTCGTCTCCTACCGACCCCCATCTTTGGTGGCAAAGCAGGATTTGCCTGGTAACGCCCCACTTCCCATGGGATCTGAGTATCTCTCTCAACCCCAGTCACTACTGGGTTCTCTTGGCTGACTCTTCCGAGGATTTAACCGAGCACTTACCTTCCTCAAGATGCAGCACCAGGAACCTGCTCTCCCCTGGCTCAGCCAAGTGGGCATGGATGTGCTTCAGAGACAGGAGAGCAGAATGGGTCTCCCCGGCAGGACAGATCCCAAAGGTCTGCAGCTGGCCTTGATCCCAGCTGGCATGTCTCACCAGCTTCAGGAAATCGCTTTCGTAGCTGGTAAGGACCCCCACAACTTCCAAAAGACTCTGGTCCAAGCCGTACCGCCTGCTCATTCTCACCGTGCACACAGGCCCTTCCAGCCTGTCAGGGAGCCAAGCAGGGAGGCTGGATTCTAACCCCACAACTGGGGAAACTGCCTCCTCGGGGAAGAGCTGGGGGCATTTTGCTCCCTTGGCATAATCTCCTGGCTGGTCACTCTTCAAGAGGGGATGAGGAACAGCGGTGGCCTTGGATGTCAATGCCATGAAGCTGGGTTCTGCTCCCTCATACGTGCTCTCATCTTCCTTTTCTTCCAGCTCCTTCGGGAAGGTTATTTCCAGTTCTTCAGCCTGCCAGAGTCCTCCCCCGATGCCTCTCTTCCTAGGCACAGCAGCAGATGGGAGGAACAGCAGCAGGTACTGCAAAGCGACTCCTAGCACGGGCTTCATGTTCTGGCGCGGAGCAGCTCTAACCTCCGAGGCTAGAGTTACTAAGTGCATCCCTCGAAACACTTATGTATGGGAAGGACTGCACCTCCCATTCAAACAAAGCGACCTTGAGTTGACAATGCACAACACACCTCCCCTGAGAAACATTCAGAGGCCAGTGTGCTGTAAAGGAGGGAGGGCCGATTCAAAGGAGTTTTTCTGCTCTATTTTTGGCTTTGCATCCAGGGCTTGGAAACATTATAAAATTGAAGCTGTTTACCTTATTTGTAGGGATGCTTGTCCTTGACTTAAGAAGTTTTTAAGAAGGGTGGGGAGAAAATGGCCAGTCTGGCTTGAATCTTCACTGGGATTGGCAGACATTTCTCTTAGGGCTTGAAACATCTGGGGGAAGGAACTGCTTAGAGTGGAAGGAATGGGTAGAAGTAAGGTAATGGGAAGAAATGGAGAGAAGTTAGATCAATCAGTTCTCTCGGCTGGGAAGCGTCCCATGATTACTGGGAGCACCAGCTCTTCCCCTCTGCAGACACATTAGAGAGGTCATCTCATGAAGACTCATATTATGCTGTTCCAACTCCTCTGGAAAATTCAGTGCTTGGTGTAAAAATATTTCATTCTACTGGAGCATCAGGGAAGGGTCTCACGAGGGAATTCATGGAAGGCTCAGACCTTGAGGCAAAAACCGTCCTGGATTCGATAAAAGAGGGAACAATCCTGCCATGGTCTGTCCTGCTGGGTCACCAAAGCTACTTTCCTTTCCTGCTTTCACTCATCCCAACAGGGCCAAATGGCTAGTGCGGTCCCCACACCGATTCCACGGCAATGTGATGCCCACAGGTAAATGGATCTTCAAAACCACATTCAACACACAGCCAGACCTTTCTGCTGGCTCACAGGGCCCGTGCGCATGACTCAAGAGGTAAATGCAGTACCAGGAATCTCTGTCTGCAGAGGTGCTGGAGACCAAGCTGTGTGAATAGACCAAAGGGCTTACTTGCTCCGAGTTCTCTCCTACCGCAAGACTCACAAGCGATAGAGCCTCCATCCCATCTCAGGGTAAGATCTCAACCGGGTCGACAGACTCAAGCCACAGAGGCTCTTAAGACGCTGGCTTCAGAGAACTGCCTGAGCACCAGCTCACCTGAACAGAAATCCCTCTTCCTGTTGTTCCACACGTTACACTTGCACAATTAGCCAATTTTCATTTTCAAAATACTAGTTTGTGGCTTTATCTTGAGGAATCCTACTTCACTCTGACCTTGCCCAGCCGCGTCTGACACGTCACGTACATTTGCAGGGAGATTCATCGGGCAGCCTCGGCATTGGGTATCTAAGATGCAGCAAGAGACAGCGCATGGGGCAAGAATCCATTTCTGCCACGTGTTTGTTGAGATGCACATGGCTAGATCTAAACCTAGCTCTGAATCCGGACCCCTCTGTGCATGTTCAATATATGGAAATACATGATCAAATTCTGGAGCGGGTGAGACAGCCAAGGGAAAGTCAGCTGTCATGGAACCCCAGAAAGTGTCCCCGTGAGGAAGGATGGGGGAGTTCTCCCACAGGGCAATGTAGAGCAGTGGGCACCAACCAGTTGATCGGGATCTATTGGTAGATCTTGGAGCCTGTCAGATGATTCTTACTGGTTTGGCCAGGAGGCTATCAAGTGCCAGCACCTTCAGCTGCCTCTCTCCCCACTGCTGCTCATCTCCTGCCCTTTGCCTTGGAGCTGCCCCTCCCTCTGGGATCCTCCTGCTCTCTGTGCAGGGCAGGGGAGCGAGAGCGCACTGATGTCAGGGTGCCCACTCTCATCCTATCTCCACAGAGCAGAGAGGGGGCACAACAGGACTTGGGAGGGAGCTTGCTGGCTGCTTTTGGGAGTAGTTCAGAGCCACAGCCCCACCAACCAGGAGCCACGAGCAGTGCCCATCTGCAGCTCACATCCCAAACTCCTACCCCAGTCGTGAACCCCCTCTTGTACCCCAAGGCTCTGCCCTAGGCTCGAGTCCTGAGGGCAGGGGACTAGACTTGATGACCTCTCAAGGTTCCTTCCAGTTCTATGAGATAGGTATATCCCTGCATCCAAATGCCATCCCAGAGCCTGCACCTAGAACCCCTTCCTGCCCCAAGAGCAGCTCAGAGCCTCTCTCACATTCCAGATCCCTTAATCCAAGACCGGAGCCTGCACTCCAACCATCTGCCCCAGCCTGGCGAAAGTGAGTGAGGATGGGCAAGAGAGGGAGGATGGAGTGAGCGGGGCAGGGTCTTAGAGAAGGTGCAGGAAGGAGGTGGGACAAGGGTATTTGTATCTGAGGTAGACCTTGGATTGCACTTACATTTAAAAAGCGATCTCAAAAAGGTAGACCCCTGATGTAGAACATGGGACAGCAAAAACCAACATAGGGAGAAGCATTGTGTCATGAGTCTGAGCTGATGTTAGATTTCTAGAGAGTATAGTCATTGTCCCCTTGAGTAATGATAACTCTGAATATATACCACTAAGGACAGCAAGGGCTGACAGTGTGTTACTAGCTACACATTTTCTTGGGCCTTTTAACACTACTAATGTGGAAACACAGGCAATGGTTTTCACCCAAAGAGAAAGACGTGGATACAGAAAACAATGTAGAAAGCCTTTTAATGAACCTACAGGATTCAGGCAACGCTATTAGCATATAAAAAGGACAAAGATTTCCCTCTGAGCAAATAATGGTGTATAATTAAAACACAAATCAAAAGGAGTCCACTGGGGAAAGTGTCCAGGAGGAGCTTTTCAGTTGGAAGGAGGAGGGGGGGGAATAGTTCCTGGCCCCTCCGTGGGAAGAGGTGGTCTCATCATGGGGGGCAGAGGAGCAGGGGGATGTACCCCAGGAGCTGGGGGCAGCTGAGGTGGTGCTGGGGGCGGTACAGGACCGGAGGGAGGCATGGGGGGCAAAGTCAAGCCTCCTGGAGGAGGTGGCGGCGGCGGCATGGAGTCCGGCAGAGGTGGTCGTGGGGGCAAGCCATTCATCAGTGGGGGTGGTGGAGGCCTCTTCAGGGTTGGGGGTCCAGGAGGGATGCTCTGGGGAACTGGGGGCTTCTCCATTTTGAAATGGAACTGAAGGAAAAAATAGGGCAAAAAAAAAAAAAAAAAAAAAAGGGACAGATTCAAATCAGCAAAGCAGCTTGGGAACCTCGCAAGGTGGCTGCCCTACCATGTGGTCTCTGGTACGCCAAGAAATATTGTGAACCACTGAAACATGATGTGTAATGCTTCCAACCCCAGGTGTCACCTCACATCGCGCTCAGCCTCTCCATCAACAGACAACCTCGGGTTCGCACCAAATGCAGTCCCACTTCTAATTCTAGAGTAGCCCGAAATATGCTCTTTGGCTTCTGAGTCAGTTACCAAGTTAACATCTCACCCTTATGTATAGCACCCCATCCCTGCTCAACTGTGCCTACTGCACACACACCCTGGACACAGCACCACACAAGTGTCTGGCGCACGGTTCCCCAAACACGTTAGGAACATGTTGCTGCTACGTATTGATCCACTGGTGCTGTGCTGCGGCTAAGTCCGTGCATTCCCTGCGGAAAGGTCTGGCTGCTGGACTAGCCACTGACGCGGCAGCAATCCAGGAAGATTTTCACTCAGCTTCATGTTTTATTTTTAAGCAAACGTAAATGCTGGTGACCGCTCAGGAGACAGATTGTGTATGTACAGCAGCAGCTGTAGAAGCTTCTTCCCAATGCACTTCCACCTGACCTGGAGGGACCCCTTGTTTGGGTGAGAAAGAAGATCAGTCTCAACGACCCCTTCACATCTCCACCTCCCTGCCGAGAATGCCAATAAGGGAGCTTACTTTTGGGTGATTGACACTTGCCCTTTTAGTAACTCAGATGAGCCAAGGAAGATCATGTCACGTGCCAAACACCCACGGAGAACGTTAGACAGAAAACATTCTGTCTCACATTGGCCTGGCAACCCCAGGGTTGTGGCTTCAAGGCCCAGCCACCCAGGAACACCACCACCAGCTGCCCCATTAAGAAGGCCGGATAAGGGACGTCCTGCAGGTAGGGAGGCGGGCTGGGTTTTGAAGTGGCCTAGGGCATTGGCCTGAGGACCCCAGGATTGTGGGTTCAAGCATCAAGGAAAGGAGGGCTCCAGCACACATCTGTGTCCAGCGTTCATAGGAAACTGAACCAATGTAATCAATCGGCCAGACCCACCACCAACCCACCCTGGAAATCGGAGTTCAGAATGTGGGCTTGTGAAATGCTCAGCATCAAGGCTCCACAGTGAAGGAGCATGAAGTGCCAGAACTACAAGATAATCAGAGTTAAGAATGCCTTGGGAATGGAGGTTGTTTGTAACACTGAACAAAACATTACAGTTGCTCTTTGAAAAGTTTACTACCAAACACTGACTTACTACAGCTCTGAAACTTTACTTTGCAGAAGAAAAACGCTGCTTTGCCTTTACTTTCTAGTAGTTTACGTTTAACACAGAACTATATGGTATTTACATTTCTGTGTCATGCTTCTGGTTCCAAACAATGCGTGTGGCTGACTGGTCAGTTTCTACCTCTGGTGTTCATAACTGAGGTTCTACCGAAGTATTTTGGTAACCACTGGCCTACGCTCCTCCACATTGTCCTCTTATCTTTTCACTCCCTCCCAAAGAAGTGAGTCTCCAGCTACCTGTTTGGTTTCTCTGTTCCAGTGAGTCCAAAACTTTCCTTCTGCTTTGTCAATTTCCCTGCTTGGCACCTGTAACAAAAGCAGTAAAGAGCTATTATTAGCACCACCAGATTAGCTCCTTAGCACTAGAGCGGCAAGATAAGCACCGCTATTCCAGGCTTGTGTGAGATGTGCTATCAGGCCTTAATAGACAGAGGGGAGGAATTAAGACACTTTCATATCTCTCAAGGGCAAGCTTATCGTCTGAAACTGGCTCCTCTTAACACCTGCACAAAAAGGATGCAGGAGCAGGGCCCAAAGGGCTCCTTTCTGTGCTGGAGGCAGAGAATTCCTTGGCTGCCCAGACGCTCTCGGCCACATGTCTCTATTCATCCTGAAGGGTGGTTCAGGAGTTGTCCTCTTTCAACACTTCCAACCAAGCTCCCTGTACACAAAGGCCCAACCATGCTCCCCATCCACATAGGCGCAATGGAATAGGTGGACACTGCTCTATTGTCACTGAATGCACAGGGCAGGGAGAGATCAACATGCAGGAGGCCAGAGTGGGTCATTTCAGTCTTACCATCCACGAGACACATTCCCAGCCAATGATTGGCCAATAAACTGTACCTTGAAAGCAATGGTTTCATAGGGCTCCGCCGCCATCAAGAGGTATTGCCAGCGTCTGTCTGGGGGCTCAATCCTTTGCTCGTATGCAGACATGAACCGGTGCCTAGGCATGATGGTTTCAGCGATCTCTGGGTAATCGATCTGTGGGGGGATATTGCAGCATTAGGTACATACTCAATCCTCCCCCCTTCTGCTAGCGGAAAACACCCCCAGCCATAAAGAGGGGCCAGTCCGTGTCCTTTGTATGGTGAAATTAGTACATTTACTGCTGGTGAAAGAAACCAGCCTTGGTCACGGATCTCTCCACTTACAACATGGTGAGGAGCAGTGCGCCGGCACCGAAAGCTTCCCCCAGCACCACTGCCCATGTGCCACAGCACAGCCCTACCAAGACCACCCCTAGGAACAAGAGGACCGTTCCTCAGCCCGTGTCAAGAACATTCTGATGGCTGTCTGTAATTGTGTGGGAACATGTCTACCAGGAACCGAGCCAAAACCCTCAACGACAGCCTCTGTTCTAATCCATCCTGCTAGGAACTTGCAGCCGAACAATTCCTTTACAAGCACCACTCAGCGGTATGCAAGGTTCACAGTCGCTTACCTGGAAGAGAAGGCTCTGTTGCCCCATTTCTGGATCTCTCTGTTTGGTCACTGTGAAAGGACAATGAACGAGTTCAATACCGTAGTGTTTCCAACCTGTGCACCACAGACTATGTGTAAGAGGTTCACAGAAGGTTACTATTACCATAGAAAAGTGATTTTCAATCCAGGGTCTGCACATTATGTCTAAGATTTCCAAAGGGTTCTGCACCGCCATTCAAAACTTTTTAGGGGTCCACAAATGAAAAAAGGCTGAAAACCGCTGTAATACAGTATTGCAGCTGGAGTGACACTAATCCTGTTTTAGGAATTGATAGTACTGCACAGAGCACCATCCCAAAGAAAACAAAAACTCTGACCGTTTACACAGTTGTAACACTACATTATTTGAAAGCCTTTATGCCAAGTGTTCAGCACCACTGAAATGCAGCAACTTCTGGGGCAGAGGGAGAGAACGGACACACAGAACATGGCAAAATAGGGGAAGATAGGGGACATAAAATGGAAGAAAAAGGAAGTTTTGGCCAAGAACACAGTGACAAAGCCAGTTTCATGAAGCGTGCCATAACAATTTTTTAAATAAAAATGGGTGAGTAAATTTGAGATTACAAACCTTGTTAGTGACACTCAGCATTTATGGAAAGAAAGGGGGGAAATCATACTCATGGGAGCAGTACTATAGTAGGTGGCAGAGGAGAGCCAGAATACATCCCATGCTGTCCACCTGTTGCATCACTGATC